AGGCTGAAATGATTCCTTCCCCCAAGAAAAGGAGGCAACAGTCAAAGCCTGGGGGTTTGGTCCTAGTTAGCTTTAACTCTCAGCCTCACAGTGTAGAGTCTCCTGGGAAGAGAGTATCAACTGAATGACTGTCCACATCACAGTGGCCTTTGGGCATGTCTGTAGGGCACTGCCTTGATGATTTGTTGACGTAGGAGAGCCCAGGTCACTGTGAGCAGCATCGTTTCCTAGGCCAGTGGGCCTAGGCTATACAAAAAGCTAAGCATCAGTCAGTGAGTGAGCCAGCGAGCAGCCGCCTCCTGTGGTTTCTGCTCCGAGTTTCTGCTACTTGAGCTCCTGCCCTGGCTTCCCTTGGTGATGGACTGTGCCACGTATGATGAAATCAACTATTCCTTCTCTCAAGGCGCTTTTGGTCGGAGTGTTTCATCACAACAGAAACTAAGAAAACAGAAGTCTTACACGCTCAGAAGCCCGAGTTGTACAGCTTCTAAAACCCCCATGGCCTGGACGGAACAATGAAAATGTGTCTTACCCAGGGCCCCTGAAACCCCTATCCTGGGTCTTGATCCCCAGATAGAGAGAGTAGTCTCCATACCTGCCTACTGGCTCTCAGAGAAGTAAAGAGCAAGCCATCCATGATTCCTGGGTTTGACATTCCTACCTGTGGCCTCCCAGGCCGGTGTGACAGCCTCCAGCCTCAGTGCCTTTAAGCCTTTGGACATGTGCTAGGGCTAAGATGCGCTTAGGGACTTAGTCCTTCAGGGGATCACCGCAGCTGGTTCTCTGGGTGCTGGGTGCTTCCTGTTCCCTGAGATGACACCAGCTGCCTTACTCTGTCACACAGTACAACCACTGTTTCAGCCATGCTGTCTCTGGTCAGAGCAAGATACTGTGCTTGATTTGATCTGGACAATTCCACATTCCTACTTGAAGGTGATATTTTCCTGCAGAGCTGACCTTCTAGGGACCTCCTGCCCTCCCCAGTAACACATACTTAGACATTTCCATTTGTCCCTCCATCCTTGGCTCCTGAAGGAACCTGAGTCAGACCCCCCCCAACCCCAGAAATAAGTCGCCCGTGTTCTTCCACAGCGTTTCCCATCTGAGAAAATACCCCTGTGATCTGTGCGTCCCCTAGGAACCTAGAAATGATCCCTTTCCCAAGAAGGGAAGGAGTCTCAAGTGGAAGCCTAAAATGCACATACAACTTCTCTAATTGCCTTTTCTGGTAAGTCTGCCTTGGTTGTGTATTCAGTTGCTATACACTGTTGTTTGCCAAAATGGTCTATGAGAATAGTCCCAAGTGTTGCCACACACAGGTCTCTGGTGGAGGAAACAAATGAAGGAAGTGTCTTTTCCAGAGAAGTGTGGCATGCTGCCACAAGGCATAAGTTGTGGAGAGAGGTTTCGAGAACACTGCAAGGAGCCCAGATTTTTGGGGTACTACTGAAAGGACTCCCTGGGAGCAGGGATAACACTATTGCTACGGCACATCAACATAACTGGGTGACATTTCAACATCCAGATGCAGGGGCTGCTGTGTGGGAAGCTGTTGCTCCAGGGCCAGAGATCTGTTGTTCAGCTGGGACAGATGCTTTGCAAGGAAATGATGGGTTTCTACATAGGCCTAGAAAAGGCTGAAGTTAAGAGAGCAGAGGAGTCAGGACACCCAACTCCTTCAGAGGAGGAAAAATGGTTGTAGCAAAGGGGAGACCAGGCGCTGGAGAGATGGCTCAGCAGTTAAGAGCACTGGCTGTTCTTTCAAAGGACCCAGGTTCAATTCCCAGCCCCCACACGGTGTCTCAAAATTGTCTGTAACTCCAGTTCCAGGGGATCTGACATCCTCACAGACATACACGCAGGCCAAACACCAAAGCACATTTTTTTTAAAGGAAGCTATTCCGTGCAAAAAAAAAAAGTGGGGGTGGCTGGAGAGATGGTTCAGTAGTTAAGAGCACTGACAGCCCTTCCAGAGGTCCTGAGTTCAATTCCTAGCAACCACATGGTAGCTCACAACCATTTGTAATAGGTTCTGGTGCCCTCTTCTGGCCTGAAGGAACATATACAGGCAGAACCCTATATACCTAACAAATCTTAAATCGTTTTTTAAAATATTTATTTATTATGTATACAATATTCTGTCTGCATGTACGCCTGCAGTCCAGAAGAGGGCACCAGACCTCACTACAGATGGTTGTGAGCTACCATGTGGTTGTTGGGAATTGAACTCAGGAACCCTGGAAAAGCAGGCAATGCTCTTAACCGCTGAGCCATTTTGTCTCACCTAAATCTTAAATCTTTAAATAAATAAATTAGCAGCCTTTCCTTAAATTAAAAAAAAAATGGAGGGGAGTAGAAGAACTGGACAGTGGACTGAACAGTTCTACACACTGAGTTTTATGAAGCCCTAAGGCCATTTTATGAAATTAAACACCAACACCTTAAAAATAAATAATTATGCTCACGTTCAGGTCAGTACATGGGTAATTTGATAACTGGCTCCTGAAGCAGGCAAGCCACAGGCAAGACTCTGAACTCTGTTGACCCTGTGACGGGCTGAGAAGAGGCCAACTAGTGGGGACCGCTGATGAGCTGTTCTGCCTAAGCAGAACATGTTTTACAACCATTTAAAAGACTGTCTAGACCTGAGATCCAAACTACTTAGGAAACTGAGCCAGGAGAATTCTAAGTGCAAGGTCTGCCTTAGACATCTTAATAAGACCCTGTCTGCCGGGCCGTGGTGGCGCATGCCTTTGATCCCAGCACCTGGGAGGCAGAGTATACACACACACACACACACACACACACACACACACACACATGTACATCATACAGGTTGAGTCTGCAGCTCAGTGGTAGGAAAACTATCTAAGAGGCCTTGAGTTCAACATCCAGAACAGTAAGCAAATAAATAGTCTCAAGCGCATGGCAGCAGTTACTGTGTTATGGGATTATTCTATGGAAGCAGGGAAGTCACAACCTCCTGAGTATATTTTTGGCTGCTACTCAGCTCTGGGGACTTCTTGTAGGCCCCAGGTGTCCATGACCCTTTGTGCTGGCTCTGCCCCACCTTGCATTGAGGTTTCTCTGTAGCAATATCAGGTTTGGTATCTATCCCAGTGCCAGGGGTATGGGAGAGTCTTGAGCTGGGATGAGCCCTGAGTGGAGTGGGAGTATGCGGATCTAGATAGACAGCCACAGCGTTGACACACAGAGACACACTGGCATTCCAGAAAGGAGGTGCCCAGCTAGAGAAGAGGCCGGTGCCAAGGGCAGGGCTTGGACTAGCTACCTAGTCAGAAGCAGACTCTATGAACATGGGAGAACTCAGAGTATGAGAAAACACGGGGTAGGAGCGTCTCCGAGAGTCAGGGCAAAGCAGATGAGTGAAGAGCCTTCGTGCTTGGCAGGATCCCTGGGTCCATGTAAGCCTTCAAGGCTGAAGCACTGAATCCTGCAGTCAGGATAGCCTGGGGGACCAGGGAGAAACTTGGGGAGGATTCAGGTTTAACTGTGCTTGCCACCAAGCCCAAGGAGCTGAGTTTGATCCCCAGAACTAACATGGTAGAAGAATAAAACCGACGTCTACACACAGGGCTTAGGTGGGAAGCAGGAGTGAGGACCACAAAGGGGTAAGAAAGGCAAGTTACAAACAGGATGGGAAAGATGGCAGGACCAGGGCAGAGCAGAATGAGACTCTCCCCAGGAGGAAATTGTGTAAAATGATGTCTCCAAAGCAACACACTACACAGCTATCAGGCCATCATCTTTAAGAACACAAGCCACAGGATGTGGTCTTCCAGTGTGGTGGCCTCTGGTTATCCTTCTGTCTCAGTGTGACCGCCAGTGTGGCTCCATCTCTACTCCTTTGCTACTTCACCTAGGAAAGCAGACTGGATTCCCTGAGTCCTGCCTCTGTCTGGGTGCAGATGGAATACGAAGAGACTGGTAGGAGCCCAGACAACTCCCTGTGTATCAACTTCCATGATGAACAGGAATGGTGAAGGGAGCTGAGGCCTTTCTGCACGGTAAGAGTGCCAGCCTTTGCTTCCACGCCTAGTGTGGATGCCCTCTCTCACCTCCCCATCTCACCATCAACCCCTGGTGCTAATTAAAGCCACTGTCTAAAGAAAACACCAAACAGGATCTATTGGCCAGGAAAGGCATGCGTTGGGGTTCTGCTTCCTTCTCTCTGGCTTCAGCCCATGTTGCAACAGTTAGGTCATAGGCCTGCCCCTTGGAGACGCTTGTCATTCTAAGCAGCCAGATCTCACCACTGCTACCCAGACCTCTCCCAGGCCCAGCAGTGACAGTAGGCAGTTCTCTCATGTGTTTGTTCCTTTGATTTGCACCTGAGAACCAGGCTAATACACAAAAGACAAGCTCCCTCCTCTCCCTGCCTCCCTCTCTTTCCCCCAACCCCCACTGCCTCCACATAATTTCTATCCCTCAGCGTTTCTCTGAATGGCTAAGTTTGTGGTTCCAAACTGATTGATTGCATCTGGATCTGGTGTTTGTTTGTTTGTTTGTTTGTTTGTTGTATTATTTCTCTCTTTCACATTGTGCCTTCTGTATACCCTCATTCTACTCTTCTTTACCTTTATTATAGTTGGTTTTTTTCTCCCCCCACCCCCACCCCTGGTTTCACTATATAGCCCTGGTTTGCCTAGAACTTGTGATATAGACAAGCCTGGCCTCAGACTCCCAGAAAGTTAGTGCTGGGTTTAAAGATGTGGGCCACTGTTTTGCCTCTACTTTCCTGTCTTTATGTCTAAACCTTTACCCTTTTAATATGGAACTTTTTGCCTATCTGTATTACTCTTCATTTCCTCCCCAAAGAAAGATTTTATTTGAGAAATAAGATAGCCATCAACCTTCATCGATTTCACATACCTTCCACCCCACACACATCCGGACAGAGGTTCAAGTTGGTGTCCCTGGGTACCACCCTTGGAGACATGACTAACATATTCTTTTAAATTATTATTATTGGTTTTTACCTGTTTTGCATGTGTGTGGTGAGCGTGTCCCATGGTGGATGTACAGAGGTCAGAGGTCAGCTTTCAGGAGTTGCTTTTTCCCTTGACATCTTGTGAGTTCCAGAGACTGAACTCAGGCCATCAGACTTGAAAGCACATACGCTTTGCCACTGAGCCATCTCACTGGTCCTTCAGCACTGATAGTAAATGGTGGCCTTCTCTAGGCCAAGCCCCAAATGAACACAGCAGTCCAGAGAGCCCCATTCCGAAAACCAAAACGAAATTACCAGAACTGAAATGTTTGCACCAAAACAGGACCCAGATGGAGTATTTGCTCCTGGTCAAATGCCTTCGCCTGCCCAGTCTTGACAGCTGAGCAGACCCGCACCCTCCCCACCCACCCCCTCCTCCGCTGCTCACTTTGTTTATCTGAGTTTTGACTATGACGCCAAGGACACTCCCAGCCCAATTAGGGTTTCCCAACAACTTTGGCCTGGAGCCCCATAGATAAGTAGCTTGAATCATATCTACAATGGCTTGATGACTTAGGGAACAACTTGGGGTACCTACACTTGGTGGAATATGGGAAGCAGCCAGGAACTGATCCCGGAGGTCTGGCTGGGGTCTGGAGGTCTGGACAGACACCACCATTGTCCCTTAGTTCCTGTCATTATTTCAAGAGCCTCCATCACCACTCACCAGAGCTGCTCCAAGCCAGCTGCAGGACACCTAGAAGTCTGATGGAGTGAAGGGCTCTACCCGAGGTTCTCCCAGCAGTACTCAACCTGATAATCTCCCTCCCCAAACCCACCCTTTGCCTCTGTTCACCATCTTAGGAAATAAAATGTCTCCCAAGATTTCCCAGAGGCACAGAAATCTCCCCTGGGAGCCTGAAGCTCCTGCCATCCCCTTTGTCTTCCCAGATCTAGTCAGTCACCACGGCAAGTCAGTTTTCTCCTTAAACCACTTGGGTTCCAGGGATTAGGCTCGGGTCATGCACCTTTGCCCCTGAGCCACCCAGGTTCTCCAAACAGCTGACAGCCTGGGCTGGGAAGCTCACTGGCATTCTGTCCTGGCCCCTGCCACTGCCACCTCAGTCGGTCCACCCAGAGCAGGTGCTCTTTCAGAACAAAACAAAAACAACCAAGTCACCCTTTCGCTTACACAATTCCTGCCAGCTGTTCATCGCCTACAGTTTTGAGCTCCAAACGTCTTTGATCTCTGCAACCACACATATAGACATTCACGCACGCACATATGCATGCACACACAGTGTGTATACATCACCAATAAGTATGTTTATTTATGTCTAGGTTTCGTATACACCCACCATCACCACTAGCCAACATCCAAGGTTAGTAAATCTCTCTAAGAGTGTTCCTAATAGCAAGAGATTTGAATCTGTTTCCAATTGTTTTGAAAACTTAGAGTATTTGGGACTAGCTGCTACCAGTTCTGATGATATTATGATAAGTCAGCGAAGAGTAGGTTGGAAGAGGAATGGCCACACCCTTGCCACTGTCGAGCGCTCTGCTCACACCTCTATCATCGCTCCGTTTGTAATCCTGGGATCTTTTCAGAAATTTCTGTTGTGTCCACTCTGGGAGGATTAAGTCCCCTAAAACAAAATAAGATGATTGAAAATGGATTTCACTGAGCACAGAGAGATTGGATGACAGGCTGGAAGAGAACTAAGTTGCAAGAAACCATTTGCACCTAGAGGATTGCTTTCTGTACTCTGCTTCCACGGGACACTTGGGACAAGGGACAGAGACATGAGTTCCTGACAAGAGGACAGTCACAGGTATCAGGGTCAAGCCCTGTTGTAAATATTAGAAGTGATTAAATGCTTTATTTGGTTTCAATGGATAACTACATATAAGTAGGGGCTCACAGGGTGGCTCAGTAGCTAAAGACAGTAAGGAACTACTGACTCCACAGAGTTGTCTATTGACCCCACCTGTCCCTGTAGCATATGTGCCCATACAGAAGCATCTCACACACACACACACACACACACACACACACACACACTATAATAATAATAATAACTATAATAATAATAATAGTTATTATTATTATTTTACAAGGAATTCTGTTTTTTAAGGGAAGAGATACACATAAACTTTTTTGTGTTTTTTCCTCTGTTCCAATGCATTGTTTTGCACAATCTCAAGACTCAAGAACCCTAATTTGGAGACTTCTGCCATGTATAAAGTCTGTGCACATGTTCTGTGCTTGAACACAAGGCTTTCAAATGAAGCTGCTTTTTCTGAGTTTCCCATCACAGGGCCATGCACTATCTATCTAGTCATGTGTGTGTGTGTGTGTGTGGTTGTGTAGGTGTGGGGGGTGCCTTGCCTGTGTATATGTCTGTGTACCACTTGTGTGCCTGGTGCCCTCAGAGGCCAAAAGAGGGTGTCAGATCTCCCAGGAGCTGAAGTTACAGAGGGTTGTGAGCTACCACGTGGGTGCTGGTGATCGAAACCAGGACTCAGAAAGAGAAGCCAGTGCTCTTAACTGCCGAGCCGTCTCCCAGCCTTATTTATCTAATCTTAGCACAGCTGCCCCCAGAGAGGTTGCTCAATTGGTACTTTGGAATTAACCATAAATTGTCCAAACACACAAAGCCTCCTGTGTGGGCTGAGGGTGTTTCTCTCCACTGTGTCCAGTTTCTCACCTGGCAAAGTCCAACTTATCCTCATAAGCTCAGTTCAAATGTTACCTCCCGGGGCAGCTGCTTGAGCTTCTGCCTGTTTGTTCTCAGCCTAGCATTTACCGGTGGATCACCCTGTGATGTCTGTGTTAGGTCCCTCTCCTCTCTGTTGAAGAGCTCCAGGGGTGGGGTCTGCAGCAGCCCGCGCACTCTGGGCGCTCAGCGCACTCTTCTCCCAGAGCCAGGGCACAGGGACAGGGACAGGGACAGCTGGATGACGTTAGACTCAAGATGGTTTATTCTGGCCGTGTGCCTACTGTTCTGCCGACGCATAGGTAAAACAGAAGAAAATGGTGGGTAACGGGAGGTGTTGTGAGACGTACCCAGAACGGCTCTCCCTATCGACCTCATAGAGTGGTGTTCACTAATGCCTTTCAGGCTGGAGACGAAGTCTACTTGGAGAACCTAGGGCAGAGAAATGAGTCCCCCTTTGCCTGGCACCACTGTGTCTGTGTTCCTGGCAGCCCTGTGGAAGCCAAGGGGTATCCAGAAGCCAGCAACCACCACCCTCCCACCCCAAGCATCACTATGAGTGGCCAAAAGCACTCAGTCAAGCCAGAGGCACCAGCCTTATCAATAAATGATCATCCGCAGGACGTGCCAAGGCCTGGACACAGAGCATCTAAAAGCTTCTCCTCTCCAATGGGGTCAACCGCTGAGCCCATCTGTTAATGGTCCACTTCATGCTCCGCCACCCAGATGGAAGCCTGAGTCATCCCCACGGCTGACATCAGCAAAATCTCAACAGCCCAGACGTCTAGCACACTGCTCCAAGCCAGTGATTTGGGTTGTCCTGCGAGGCACAGGCTGGTGGTATTAGGACGGATCCCTCCGTAGCCACATCTAGAAAAGGGGAACATACAGACTTCATGTCCTTAGGACAAAATTAGGCAGATCTAGCATATAAAGCAGGACCAGGCTTCAGAGAGGGAAGCAGAGCAGCATTGCCCTGCCTTTATCTTCATCCCTTTTCCATCCTTCACCTGGGCTGACACAGCTGCCTCACACCTGGTCTCACTGTTTCTCCCTTACGTTACTAATTGTGTTTCTCTATGGCTGGAGCCGTGCTTGAAATTAAGTTTATAGAGTCACTGCTGAGCACCATGTAGGGGCCAGGCACTGGTCTCTTCTGGAGAGGCCTGCAGAGGGTGTCTGGAAATACTAGACAGATACAGCCTCATACTGCTAGGGTTCCCAGGCGTCCCCCCTAAAAGCATGTACTGGGAATAGAATCCTTAATCGGCACTGGGAGGCGAAGCCTGGGGAGAAATGACTAGCCTGTGACAGTGGAGAAATGGATTAATGTCATGATAGTGGGCTGGATTTCCTGGGGAGGAAGTGGGCTCCCTAAACAAGACTCTTCCCAGACAGGGAATGTCTCCCCACTTCTTCCCTCTCCTCCCCATCTCTCCCACTTTGTTATAGTTTGAGTAAGAAATGTGCTCCCCATTAGCTCACATGTTGAATGCCTGGCCCCCAGCTGGGGGTGCTCTTTGGGGAAGTAGTGGGGACTCTAGGAGATGTGGCCTAGCTGGAAAAGTTATATCACTGAAGACATGCCTTTAAAGGTTACACCTGCTCCCGGGTCCTTCCTCACTCTCTGATTCTGTCTCTGTGAGGTGAACAGGCTCATCCTCCAAAGGCTCTGGCCACCATGATCCCAGAAACACAGCCAAGAAACCACGGACTGAACTCTTTAGAATAATGAACAACAACAACAAAAAATCTTGCTTCCTTCAAATTGTTCTTTCAGGTGGTGTCTTGGTTACAGTGTTGAGAAAAATAACTGGTGCATACACCCTTTCCACACACCAAAAAGGGCTTTCACCATATACGCTCCTGGAGACTGGGGTTCTCAGCCTCCAGGGGGCAATCACTTCCTGTTCTTTCTAAAATGACAGTCTCGGGTGTGCTGCTGCAGGAGCACACAATGGACAAAGATACTCACTAACCTGGTTCTCGAGCTGAACATGTGTTCTTCCGCGTCACGTTCTAATCTCTGCCCACCTCTTACCTGCCCTGCACATTGTGCACCCCTCCGCCTACTTTCAGCGCGTGAGCAAGTAACAAGGAACCCTGGCACAGATTGTCTGGGACCAAGGGCATGAACTGTAAACAGGCGTGCTGGTCAGTCCTGATTGCCAACTAGACTGGCTGAGAGATGCTTAGATTACTAGTAAAGCCCACATTAGGTGAGTCTGTGAGATCTGCAGAAACAACTGACGTAGCAGCCAAGGGAGCAAAGACTGCCTCTGTGTGGCTGACACTGCTCAATGGGCAAGAATCTGTACAGAGGGGGATGGAGACAGGAGCCAGCCAGCATACGCATGCCTCACTTTCCCTCAGCACTCGTGGATCCAGAAGCCGCCCTCATCTGTGGACATCCGCCTTCTGCAATCTTTTAATGCACGCTTGCCTTCAGAAACTCTCCAAAGAGCTTCCAGAGCTTCATCATGGTCCTCTTGTTCTGAAATGTCCAGCTTCTTAGACTGAGCGACTACTGCCTTCTGTGACTCTCCAGCATGCACAAGCTGTTACTGGACAAGTCAGCCTTTTATAATACACTTGATATAAGAAACTGTGCTTCTCTACAGGAGTGAGAGAGCATGTGCCTGGAAGGGTAGCAGGTTGCTTATTTGCTCTGCTAAGGTAAGATTCTCATCCAA